CTATTTTCGAAGCGTAATTTCTCCACAACCAGGAGGTTACCACTGTCGAAAAGGGCGGTTTTGGAAGTATCTCATCGAATGCATTCCTGAGAAGTATCAGTTGGCGCTTGCACCCCCCTGGTTGCAGTGAAATTACGCTTTGAAAATCGCTCGCACCCCTGTCCCTGTGCTCTAGCTGACTCGCAACCTTACGGTATACATGAACAACTGTATGCGTGGGGAGCATACGATCAGATACCTTTGCGAGTTCAACTCGCGACATACTCGTGCGGGCGGCTATTGCCCCCTACCGTCTGGCACTAAAGTTGTTTTGTTCTTTACGTTTCGGCATGTTTTCACGTAAAGAGATTACGCGGCCTTAACCGCCGAAAGGCCTGTCTTCTGGCATTATTAGTGCGCGAAACTCGGCAGAGTCGTACCTTCTCACCCCTTCCCTGCTACACCGTTGCCTCCTCACTTGCCCACTCCAGCAGTACCACCCTTTCATCATGGGCCCCGACTACATCGGCCCTGCCATGGGCCACTTCAAGGAGATCACCGCGCAATTCCCCCAGGTGATCAGGAGTATTACCGAAAAAGAGATACTGCGAACCCACCACACAGAGGCAACCGCTTTGACTCACAGATCGAAAGCAGCGTCATCAAATGATGCTGGATACAGTAGTGCAATTGTTTTCCTTGCAGTCGGATGGATTATTGTTCAGGGTGTCGTTTTGGCGGTGACATGGGTACCGTGGTTGTACTCACAAATCGGTCTCTTGTAACGTGAAAAGTATTGGCGTACGTGATCAACCCGTGGGCATGCAAGCACCATGGAGTAATAATGCTGATCTGTGAAGGTATCCCGCCTGCCATGGGTGAACGATGGACCGTTCCGTGTTTCCCTCCCGTTGCCACCGATGGATTAATGATATGTTGCCACGCCTACACCGAGGGCGGGCCATCCCGTTGCACGTCAGAATTTATCCGAAACTGGGCATTGTTGTTGTATCGTTAATATTACTTTGCTAGTTTCCTTCGGACTCTCAACCGCGGATAGATTGGACATGTCTTCCAAAGAATCCAAACGCATGTATAAAAAAATCGAACACGTTACTGCCGCAAGCACGAAGTCATACAGAAGCGCGAGTAGGACAGAGGGCAGCAGCAGTATCCCACCATGCCTACAGAGTGGGAAACCACCTTTACTGCTGTACCTGCCGAGTGTGGATAGGTGTGGTGTTTGTTCGTTCTGCCGATTTGTTTGGGTTTTTAGAAGACAAGTATTTCTCTCTCTAGCCCCGGGTACAAGAGTCCACGATAAATATGCAATCAATGCATAGTCTATGTCAATTCGTTGGGCTTATTGTATTGTTGAAAAAGTAAAAACTAGACGACGGCACAGATGATAGGTTGGTTATCCCCGCGACGCTCCCAACATTCACACTCCCGAGCTACATGGTCATTGACCCGTTGCCTTCTCTGGCTTTCGACTCTAGGCTTTGCTGAGCAAGTGGAAACGATACGTGCAACCAGCCACGCTGTGTGGAGTTTGTTGCTTTGCACCGAACTCCTGTTTGAAAATCAAGCGCTCTCTGCTACATGATGCTGGAGCATGCCCGCGGGGATACGCGTGTCTCCGTCGGTATGCGTCTTCCGGCAAAAAAAAAAATGTAACCCCCAGACCCTTGTGCATCCTACGCTCGCGCCCACGACCGTGATCGTCTCCAAATCTCAGTTCTGGGCGTACTCCCTATTCAGCATGGCTTTGATCGACTTCAACACCATCAAGAACGCGTATGAAGAGCCCAGCCTCATTACCAGCGAGGGCGGCCTCAGGGAGGAGTACAGCCCGGGAGACCTCGGCTTCGACCCCGCCAAGATCAAGCCCAAGAACCCGGTGCTCGTGAAGAAGATGCAGAACAAGGAGATTAGCAACGGGCGCCTCGCCATGATCGGCATCGCCGGCATGTTGGTGCCGGAACTGGTTAACGGGCAGGACATCCTCGGTTAAACGGCATCGGAGGAACGGGGTCGCCTTTGTGGCCAAGCCTGACCGTAAATCGATCTGTACATAAAAGGGAGACAACGCAACAAGCGTGCCGTGTACTGTTGCGTTGCATACATACGTGTTCGGTGCCTAAGAGAAAGAATTGACGAGTGTTAGCACTGCGCTGGTAATAATACAACAAGGAAAGAACGAATGCACGTGTGTCTGTTGGATGTCTTTTTATTTCAGTACATGGTGACCCTCCAGGTGTAACCAACCCTGAAGAGATAACGACTGGTTCTTTAGGCTGGCGTGGCGGCTTCCATGCGTTAATTTCGTGCAATTCGTTTCAAAAAGAAGGCACATGGTGCTTCCTTGAAACACACCTGTAGTTAGAAACGTTATTTACTCGTGCAGTCCTTGTTGAATGGCATATCCTGGGTTTTCACAGTAAAAGAAGGGGGCCCAGAAGGCGGAGGGGTCGTGTTATCTGACCGTATGCATTTTTGTTAACGTGCCGGCATACACCCGCTCTCCCCTCTTGTGGAACACGTACAGTACAGTATTAAGCCTCATATAGAATGGATTGTATCCATAGTTCGCACGTGGTTCCTGCGGCGCGCTTTCTCCGACCGCGACTAGGCTTGTGACGGAGACACAAAACTCAAGGACTGGTTCAAGTGGTAGTGTCGCGTCGGAGGGAAATATATCATGAGTGGTGACTGGCGGTGTCGACATGTAGAGTATTCAGGTCTGCCGGGTGACTTCTCCCCGAGAAAAAAGAAGGCAATTTTGTTTAGACCACCTTCCATCATGAAGAAATTTACTATCTCCGATGTGGAAACCACCTTCCTTCGTAAAGTTAGGTACTATCTCCCCGACGTCCGTCGGGGACGATTCCCTCTGTTGACAATGGCGTCGACGTGAGATGTTAGACAGAGTGTCTGCGTTTGGTTGCAAAAGACGCGGGTTTTCAAATACCGCCGCTCGCCAAGTTTGTTCCGGAAAACGGACAAATAATTCGGCAAAGGGTGGGTTGGCCAAGAATCGCGCGCAATGGCTATCGAACTCGTAACTTTTGATTGCTTCTGATGACGTGGCGGACGTATCGAACCCGTGTATTCACGCACAGACGACTATGAAGACGAAGTGAGTCGCCCCGCCGCCAGCCGGTAGGGTTCGGTTACCCCTAGAAGACTTCTCTTGCCTGGCAAACAAGAAGTCTCGTACAAGGGGGGACTAATAATGTGGAGACCACCTTCCATCATGAAGGTACTATCTCCCCAACGTCCGCCAAGTACGGTTGATTCTCTTTTCACAATTTTCTGTTGAAAAGATAATCCATCAGTCCGTAAAGTTCGCTTGAGGGAGTAGCCTCTGAAGCGACCGCTTACAGCGCAATATATGTCATGCAAGGTGTAATTGTTGCGGTGTCGATTTTTTTTTATTCTGAGACGTGGTTGGCGATACTAGGCCGGGCCGCCGCCGTTCTGACGCAACAACAGAGAGGTGCCCATGTCGAAAAACGCACTCTCGCGGCCACCCCCACCCTCTTGCGGCGTGACTTGTCCACCATGAACTACGTAGGCCACGCGTCCGTGGGAAGCATTGCGGCAAAAGACAAGACAAAACCCGTCCCCTCCCCCGAGTGGTTCAGTGCTAAGTGAAAATGCATTCCTCCTCGAACGGCAGAACTCACGGAGGGAAAGTGCTTTTCCTACACAACACAACTAAGTAGAGTGTGCCCAGGGAAACCGAAGCTTTGGTGCATACCGAAGGGAGAACGCCCTCGAACCTGCCTCCCGCACCTCCCCCTCAATTGGTCACAACGCCGATCCTAGGCGCTGGATACACATACATGTGGTTCAAGTTCTCCAACAACTTTACATTAATGTGTTATGCCACTTACCAAAACATCACTCAAGCTTCGATCTATCTAAACCATCAACATCCGGGGATATTCTGTACATTTACCACATTTCACAGGGTATTGAGAAGGTGCTTTGCTTTGCTGATTCCGTGCAGCAAAGCGAGGAAAATCGAAGTCTCCTTGATATGCATGCGTTTATGCGACTCGAGAGATTGTCCCGTCGGTACGCTTGCAGAGTTGGTGTCTGCTTGTCATACCCTTTTCGTGTCCACTCGATTCCCACGGCCATTCCACATGCATGCTGTATTGTTGTCGCATGATGATAGACAGGCCGCTTGTTTAGACCTTGCCGTTGAATAACTAAGTGTTTGCTCTCTAAAGGTTGCCTCTCTCGTGAAAATTTTGTCTGATTCACTCGTTGCATACAAAATACTACTTCAGTACAATAGAACTGCACCTGATCCTGGAGACATGAAAGTTACAGTGGCCTAATATACCTAACGGACCCAGCTACGAACTAGTTCATCCTCCTCCTCCACCAGTAAGCCAGGATGACCAGTCACCATCACCCCCGTCATCTTCGTCGCCGATATCATCCCAATCCTCGTCTCCTAATCGATCAGCCTCAGGTTCAGGTTCAGGTTCAGGTTCAGGCTTAGGCTCAAGCTCATGGTTGAGGGAAAATACGTTTGGAGGTTTCCTCATCTGCTCTGCTGGCGGAATTGCCGCAGTGGGGCTGCCGCCTGCTTCTCGTACCTCTGCGCTGTCTTTGCCCACCGTCTTGGTTATTCTGACAGCCTGGGAGTCACTTGTGGCACTGCCTCCATCTTGCTCCTGCGCGACGCCAACCGATGGACCCAAAACACCACCATTTGCACCGTTTGCAAGCGGTTGTCCGCCCGGTCCGTTCGGCTGCTGGGCGTCGTTGGTCATGTCTGACACTCTCCCCGGCACCGCTGCAGCAGCTCTTTTCAAATCTAGGGGGATGCCCTGGATGGGCGGGGCCGGCTCGGCGGGGGGAGGGTGATGCTCAATCATATCGACGATTGACGCGGACCATGAGGGTTGTTCCGAGCGAGAGTCGGTCTTCCCGCCGCCCGTACCGTCTCCCTCGGTCCCGCTTTTGTCCGAGAAAGTTTGCCTCAGGATCCTTGCGCTGCCGGTTCCCCTGTGTCCACTGCCATGCTCTTGCGGTAGCAGGTGGTGATTCTCCCCCGAGTTTTGTTCGTCTCCTCGTCTGCTACCTTTGCCATCCGATGTGCTGACACTGAAAGCTACCATTCTAGGAGACGAATCCCCCAGTTCAGAAATATCCTCGTTTAACTGACGCCCTTCGTGCCTCTCGGTACCGCTCTGCCCGCCGCCGTGCCCGTTATCTGCCACGCTATTCTTTACCCCTGGAATTCCCTGCCCTTCCTCCTTAGACCAATCGCGTTCCACACCTACCCGATGCCTAAGTGGTGTCCGTTCGGAGTGTGCACGCGGGTTCGTCACCTCCGGTGATATTCGCCCGTACCCCGCGTCGTAAACCTCGGTGCCCCTCCCGGAAGCCTGGGTGCGACCGTTACTACTCGGGGCATACCGCTCGTTTTCCTCCAGCGTCCCAACCGCTACCGCAGACGATCGAGCGACACCGCTCTCCGCCAATGGCGTTCGCGGTGCCCCCTCCTGTCTGCTGGTCAAGACGCCGTTTCGCGCCTGTTTCACAGCCTCTGGCGGTGTCTCCGGCTGGAACTCACTGGTGTATCCGCTGCATGTGGATGATGCTTCGGCGAGACTTTCAGGGAGGTCTTGCGCTTGGCCGTGGCCTCCTCTGCCAGACAACATCGAACTCCATGACAAAGGCACGTCTTCCGCATCACCGGCGTAGACAAGGATGTCTTCCTCGGCAAGCTTCTCGGCATGACCGTGGGCCATTGACGACCCTACTCCTGCCGGACGACCGCCAACATTCCCGCTGCCTTCGTCGCCAACTTCGTGCAGCACCATGTCCTCAGCACGCTCGGTTCCAGAAACTTGGTCGTTTGAGCAGTTTCCCGAGCCTGGGGTCTTCTGTTGGTGCGCCGACTTTGCCGATCGCGCAAGGGTGATGCTGGCGCGCTCGTGTAAGCGTGGCTCGGCTGCAACTTCCGTGAGAAAGCTAACGCTCTGCTCTTCTCGTAGACTCCCGCCGCCAAGTAGGCTTACAGTTTCCCTTGTTCCGAGATCTGCCGGGTGATTTCGGCGTTCGTCCCCTCTGGGGTAACCCTTTGGTAGACATTGGCTTGGTCTTGTCTCTTCCGATGACATGCCGGGCCGGCTTCCTTTCCTCTGGTCGTCGTGGTCCGTTGAGATCGGATCTAAAGCGCTCTGTCGCGTTTCTTCGTCGGCACTTGGTAGGGCCTGTCGACACAGGCTTGACAGGTTGTTCGCGACGTCCAGCTGCGATAATATCGTCGAAATCGCGGATCTAGAAATTCCGGACGGGTGACCGCTTAGGTCTCCTGTATTGCCGTTGTTCCCAGAGTGCAGTACATGCAATGGCGACCGAACGGACATGTTGCGCAGCACGTAGTAGAACATTTGTCGTGGCGTTATTCTCGATACCTTCGCGTTGTGCTGTGAACAACAGCGCCATCCTTCTCACAACAATTCGCCCATTTTCGGAAAATTTCAAGGCTTAGCTTTTCAGGCAGAGCGCCAACAACATCGAGCGACACTAGATTTCATGCTCCTCGATGACCTCAACGTTGGCACCACAACGAGGTTTTTGAGCCTTCGGCAAAAGGGCTGCTTCTACGATAGGGGGGTGCACTTTGGGGTGAAATCTTACACGTTTGGGAGAAAACGTGTTGTCCTGTTTCGTTGATCTTACGGCAAAATAGAACGCAACCATGTATGTTTACGTGGAGGGTGTCTCCCGACCCAAAACCGTGAGATAATGTGACCCCCCCATCGTGGCATCAATCAAACAGTCTTTCTCGTTTCAGTGGGCTAGCACTGCAGCGGATCTATAGCTGAACCAAAGCGTGAGGGTGAGCACGTTCTGCCAACTTTTGGGGCGGGACGGACGGCCACAATACACCACACATTCGACGAAAGCTCGGTGTTATTGGGCCTGGTTGGGTGTTGCTGGAGGAGTGACAACCCAACGTAGTTCTATCGCAATATCCAGCCCTTCATTCTTTCGTAACACGGGCACAAGTGTCTCACCCGACTGCAGCTCCTTCATGGAGCGCTCCAAGTTCCGCAAACACGCCTCCATGGTAGACAGGCGCCTCACGATCCTCTCTAGTCGCGGCGACACTACTACGACCCTTGCTCGGTCTTCACCCTCTGACCAACGTGTTTCCGCTCCCCTGTCCGGTCCGCGCAGTACACCCGTAGAAGAACTCCCCCCAAGGCCGGTCTTAAAGGTTCTTGTTCGTTGGTTACAAGGCAAGGGAGTCCGAGCGTTTTTCAATCGGTCGAGATCGAGGTTTTCACCGTCGTTGGGCGTCGCTATCCATCTCCTCGCGTGTCGCGGTGGAAGGGGCTTCGAACTGCCCCCCACACCCCCGCAGGAGTGCGATTCTCCCAATCCAGGCGGAATAGAATGAATCGTCTTCTCTTGCAGAGGCTTTAGAGGGGCCAGGGGCCGGTGGTGTTTGGTTTGCAGCTCACTTGCAGCGTCAGCACCCCTTATCCGTTGGGCGACACGCGATGCTTGATGTGTTCGTTGCCAGGGTTTCTCCAGGGGTGCTTTTCGGACCGAGGTGTCGTACTGCTGCTTCCTTGCTGCCCCCCGCTGATGTGAAGGTTCGTTGTTTCCCACCAGCTATGGACAATTAGGCGGGGTGGAAGCGCAACGAAGGCAGCAGCAAGTCAGTTCAGAATATCGAGTACCAAGCGAGAGTGTAAATAAAGGTAGAAGAGAGGCTCCGTCTGGTTCGTTTGCACTCGCTCGTCGTCGCCGGTTGTGTTTTTCCGCGAAGTCTGTAGTGATAAATCGTACCGTTGCAATTGTAGTTGAACGGGGCTCCACTCAACCGCCTACGACCAACTAGATAGGTAGACGACCTTCCTCGTGCAACCCTCGCACACGTTGCATTGGGTTGCACAAACTGGAACAGGAAAGATCTACCGTGACGACCATGGCCGGTGGTACTTGCGGCTACATGTAGCACTGGAAACGTTTCTACATCTGGAACTGCGGATATGAGAATACCTTCTACGGGCATCAGCAGTCGGTCATTACGAACGATGTTGACATCTGCGGTTACCTCGGCAAGTTCGAGAAAGCTGTATAAGTTTCAGCTGAAACGGCTCAGCCGCAAAAGTCGAGATTGACTCACAAGACCTCGTCGAGCCGCGGCACGCTGCTTGCATGCCCAGGCCCGCGTGCAGACGGCAAAGACTTGTACAACCGATCGATGCCCGGAAGCAGCGCCGCGAATCAGCGTCCCTGCCTTTTGCCTCCCGGACAAAATCACGCCATCATGGACGAAAACCACGCCAATCTCTTTCATGTGGAGCCTCGCGCAGGCCTTCCTGAATACCGTGAAAAGGAGACTTTCCGGAGACGCCCTAAAATTTTTTCTTAGGAGCGTGCGGGTACCCTGTAGCCGCCGTATGCACAGCCATACCTGCCCGTCGCCCGGTTCATCGTCCACCCCCCGCGGTACGGCGGATTCGTCGGACAAGATCGAACTTGCCTCCTCTCCCGCGCGGGTGGCTTCTATAGCAAGCCCCTTCGGGAAAATGCTTCTGACGGACCCCGCGAGGTCGACGATTGTTATCACTCGAGCATCTGGTCGCCTGCTTGTGCAATTGGTCGCAACGAAGCGCGCAGTTCAAAAGCGGCTCAAGACAAACGGAAACTTAGTCATTGATCGCGTGTCCAAGAAAAAGCCCTCGCCAACAATTTCTGGACAAGTACCCTGTGGTTGTAGGTGGGGAAACGTCGAACAAACATCACCAAGAATGAAAGATTTCTCCTTCTACAGTATCAACTGACGCTGCATGGGTTCATAGAAATTCGTGTGTTCGCGGTGGCAGGTAGTCGCTGACACACAATTTCGAACATGGCCGTTAACACAGTACATCCCTCTTTGAGGTGGAGCACTCAAGGCCGGCAGAACTCGTGTCATCTACAATTTACACCACGATACCGTTCCTACGATTGCCACACCCCGCTCTGTTTACTTTGTCACTGGCTGACCTTTGAACAACGTTCTCGCATATCGCCATGAACGTTTCGTGGATCAAGGCATCCGTCATCAAGCACGCCTTCGGGGACATGCTACACAAAGGATTCACTCCAGCCGCCACTCTGGCCAGTTGTGCTGGTGTAGTCACGGACAGCCGTGCTGGTGGGAGAAAGCTGCTAGCGCTCTTGTTGAAAGGCGGCGGCTGGCTCGATTTCTTTTGTTGAAGCCTATCGATTACGGTGGCGTAGTACTCGCAAGACGCAAGCGCTCCTTTTTTGTGCAAGGGCAACCCGAGCCGCCGGAGAAAGATCTCGGTGGCGTGGTCGAGGAACACGGAGAGAATCACCTAGTCGGGTGGTAGACGGGGACGAGTTAAGTCTACAACTTGCCATATTGGCAAGGGAACACAGGCACGTTACCGTCATTGCTACCAAACGCTCATGGACCTCTCCGCAGGACGAGCGTAGCATGCCGTGTAGTGCTTGTTCCATCGGTCGGTCTGGCTGCCATGCGTTTACCATTGACTTGCTCTGAAACCAACCTGGAAAGCAAAGGCGGAATTGAAGAAGCTCCACATATCCTTGTCCGTCCGTATGTAGTCCTGCGCGATGTGAACAGTACAGCACAAAGAGATTGCAGGGTTTGTTTTGTTTATGGCTGATCCCAGTGCATACTACTACGAGTCTACGACTGACTGGTTGAAAACAAGAGGGTCAAGCGAACGTGCGCTTTTCAAGAGCGAAGAAGTGTAATTTCCATCCTGCCTCACATATCAGTAAAGGATGCGGACTAACTGACGAATGAATGTGAATCGTTTGTCAGGGAACGTACGTACGACGACAATGAATCTATGTAACTTTACAACAAGGCAGGAGCGAGGTCGTGATATATGTACTCCGAGTAGCCTGACACCTATGATTAAGCGAAGACACCTGGCAGGGATGACTGGAGGATTCGGTTGTCTAAGTGTAGAATGTACGTAAGTACGCTGCTTGGCACGGTGCCGTCAGTAAAAGAAAAAACCTGTAAATGACGCGGCTGAACGTCTGCGCCCGGCTGAACATCCTTTCCGGTGCCGCCACACTTGGTCCTTAGTTCGGGCTTGTCGCAGCTCATCAAGGCTCCCGCAACCAGTCGCTCTATCGTGTGCTGCAGAACCATGCAAAGGTACATGGCCGCATCATCCTGAAGTAAGGGGGAGTTGGAGGTGCAAGTAGTAAAACGATCAGTCAGACAAACCAAGATGGTATCGCAACTCCAGGTTCCTATTGTAGCTACTTACGGACTGCGACTGTCTGCTACGGTGACCTAGAGGGTTATCGAGAGGGTCGCCTACTCCCATGCGGCGCAATTGCGCGATATGGAGTCCGTCGTTCAAATTACAGCTCAAATTACAGCTGACATGCGGATGAGTTTCGTCACTGGTCAGTCTCTACCAAACACAGCAAACGGTAGTGCCGTGCTTCTCTTTGTGTATCTGCAGGTCAGGTGCCAAGTCGGGTGCGTAGAACATGCAGAGAAAACATGGGTGTGCGGTCGTTGCCCGGCGGCCTCCTCACTCCTCTCACCCCCATCGCAATTCCAAGTTCGGCGTTCAGCACGAAACGTGCTTGTCTTGTGTCAAGATGGAGCGGAATTGAACATGACAACGGATGAGTACCCGCTCGCATTAGATCTCAGCATCAGAGAATCACTGTGCCGCGGGGTGCGTGCGGGAAAAGGTGCGACGTGACATGTGCTGGATGCTGGATGCTGGAACATTTGAAATTTGGACCGGCAGGAGTTGCGCCGCATTGTTCAACCATTTGTTCTACTTACTGCTACACCGTTGCCCTGCTGCTGCTGCTGCTGCTGCTGCGCATTCGCGCATACGCGTATATGTACACAGGGCACACAACGTATGTGTCAGAGAGTATCATCCGCTCTTTCGCGTTGAAGTAAAGGTTCCACTACTGTTTTTCAAGTAGATGGTGTGTGTCACCAAACGCCGCATGCATTGAAATTGAAATTCAAACCACACCGCACAAAATCAAGGATTCCCTTCAGAGCTTCAGAGTAAGAGCAGTTTGATGACATTAAGCGCTCTTCAGGCATATCTTTATCACGTTGTTGTGGAGATGACCTTTGAAAAGGGTCACATCTCCCCAATATCTGTTGAGGATCCTTTCTTTTCTCTTTTCACTGGAACGTCCCTCTCGGGAGAGGTGCCTCTAGCCTCAAGTTAGGCCTGTCCTCCGTCGGCCGTTTTGCTTGTATGACCGAGAATAAGAAGGTGGAATTACTTGAAATTAGTAAAGAAATAAAGTTTGTGTATCTAAATCGAAAATAAAACGGCCGATGGAGGACAGGCCTAGCCTCAAGGTCAAACTCCGTTACTCTTCCGCGTGCTCTCGGTAAGCACATCGTAGACTCACCCTTTGCAGGGTCTGCCTTCACCGACGGCCAAGATCTCAGGGCGCAAATCCTCCTTGGCATCATGTGCTAGTAAAACCTTCTTCAAAAGCACATCACCGATGGCTGGTACCCAAATGCGTGAAAGGTGTTCGGGTGTGCGGTGCGTGCTTACTGAACCACCACCGGCCGAGCTATTGCTGTAGGTTTATGACCAGTGATGATCATCTTTCTAAGGAACGAAGACATTTTCTAGTCCGCCGGGTTCCCCACAGGGGCCACGTCTGGCAAAAAATGAAAGAAACAATTGCATGTATAAGTTCACGGGGGGTATGAAAATCCAGCAGTTGGTCGCGAACTCTCCTGTACTGCTGTAATAAGGCATGCATCGATTCCTGGCTTCTCCTAACATTGCGCCGCGTGGGCTCAACAAATACAAACGCCGCACACGGAGCGGTCTAACGCGTGCATCAGGGTTGCCTGTGGCCCGATAGCCCGAGAAAGTGCGTCAGAGTGACGTGGCGCTCCATAATGTCACGTTTCGCTGCTGGACCCTACCGGGCCTCGCACGATCAGCCAACGAAAACAGCACCCTCTCACCCCTCACGATGCATGGCAAGTCCCGTCATTCGTGCCCATCAAGCCAATCTTGTTTCGACGACAACGCAAAAAAACAACAAATATGACGTTCACGCCTTCGAGCAAAGTCTTGCGATTTCTAACGTCCCACCGAAATAAATCAACACGGCCCAAAAAACTAACTGGGCCAAAAGAAAAACCGTTCCACGCTTTCGTGTCCATCTAACCACGGTTCTACCTTCTACTATAGACTAACATACCGCTCCAGAACCTTCTAAGCGCGACAACATCATCCAAACAGTGAAGAACTCAAAGGTATGCATACAACGAGAACGAATCCACATGAAAAAAACCAGGCAAGTTGCTGAATTTTCAAATTGAGATTCAATCCTATGACTTTCCTCTCGCTAGATAGCTACCCCGACCCTCGTTGGTCATCCCCTCCGGTCCCTCTTGCATCCCCCGTCCCCCCCCCGCGCTCCCCTTCCCACATCTCCTCGGCGCCTGCAGGGTTTGGGCTCTTCGCTTGAGGCACCGCCTTATTATCGACGCTGTTGCTCTTGCTTTTGCGCTTGGCCTCCTCTTTTCGTGCTTTGGCCTGGGCGGCGGCAACGGCCGCGGCGGCTTTCTTGGCGATAACCAGATTCGCGTGCATTTGGTTTAGCGTCGTCTCCTCCACCTTGCAAAAGGGCGCGAATGACGGGCAGGACGTGCATCGATGAGTCTCAATGTGCTATCTCCAACCACGATAGGGCAACCGTGCATGGGACGGAGAAAGCGGGAGACACATGAACAGGATTGCCGTGACATTGCTCATTAAGGACCTGATTTTGAAGTCATCAACATGTCAAGGTTTGAGCGTGCCGGGTCAAGTCGCCCACTACGCCGCATCGGACAGATTCCGCCAAGAAGAGGACATGGTGTAGATCTACGCCGGGTTACAGCAACCCCATCCATACCAATGCGAAACGTACGTGATACACACCGCAGGCCTGTCTCATGACAAATATTTTCCTTTGATACCCAAAATACTTTCCGAACTTGATCTCGACGAAATAAGACTTGTTTTTTATATCCCGCAACCACCAGGACATCATAATCCATAGCACCATGCACACTCTTCAAGCTCACCTTGCGAAGGGCAGGAGTCTGAAACTGCTCCAGCGCGAACATGTTGTGGGTGCTGCTATCTGGCTCTAGCTCGATGTACGCCGCCTCCGGATACTTTTTTCTAATCTCCGTCTCAGCCTCGCGAACCTTCTCATCGCCCGACAAGGAAAAGAAAAAGAAGGCACGCACGTACAATGAATTGATGGAAAAAAAAGTTGAAGAAGGAACGGTGAACCATGGAGACAAGGGAGAAGGAGGTGCGATGAATGCGATGCAGCATGCTCGAGGAAGCGGTCGTTGCGCTAGCCAACAGCACCCAAGAGCCATTTGAACGAGGAGGTTGCGGGGGCGGCGACAAGGAGAGCAAGTGAATAATAGCTGAAAAATACGCCAACCCATGCAGACACACAAGGCAGACATACAAGCGTACGCGGGAAAAATAACTCTTACACGTGTCAATCTGCCCGGCGGACCACTGGTCCCATGGACAAAAGAGCAGGCTAGACGCCACGAGTGGATGCACCCCTCGTGCATCTACAGCGAGCCAGCAGTGCACCTACGGCAGTCTAGTCTAACGCCCCCATTTATTGGCCGAACATCCGCAATACCTCTCGCTCTGCCGCTCGCATGACGTCTTCCGTGTAGAAGGAGAGCAGCGTCTCGTGGTCCTTGTACTTGCCCTTGTCGTCCGGAGGCCGCGCCAGCAGCTGCCTGAACTCCTGGCCATACCTGTTCGCCCGCACGCAGCAGCAACTAAAGGTCTGGTCGACAACATCACGGCTCGCAGAAAACGAAAAAAACAAAAAAACACCCGCTCGTCTTGTTGCCGAAGCTCTGGCTGGACCAGACACGTCACTTTGAGTAGCGAGCACAAGCTTAAGAAGATCAGGGGAGCCGCAGCCTAGAAACAAGAGGGGCTACCCTTTTGAGCGAACAGGGCTTGTTGCATCGCCTAAAGCGTCCGAACATGGTTCTACAGCGCCGTAAAACACGCAAACCTCGCATCCTGTGCCAACGCAACTGCCCGCAAAGCACATGCTGCAAATTCCCACACCAAGTGACGGCTATGACACGTGGCACGCATGCACCACTCATGAAAATGACCGCCGACACGTGCCTTGTATTGAGCTTGAGCTTAGCAGCAAGGAAGGTGCCATCGAAGTCGACCTCGGCCTTGAAGGCAAAAGTGTGCGTCCCCACCCACTGTGATTGCACCTTCGCTTGTTCGAGATACAGCAGAGTTGGTTACGAGGCGGTACCGGGGCATAGGGGTAGAGGTTGAGGATGAATAGAACGCTTGTGTCCCTAGCCACCGTCACCCCAAATTGTGCACGAAATGGGTTGGCAGAGACGAAAGAAATACACGTCACGAAGGGTCCGCACGCGGCCGAAACAAGGGATCAGTAAGTCAGCAGGGCCGACCAAACAGCTAGCTGTCAGGGATTTTTTACGAAACACTGACACGTTCATGCAGCACGTGCTACATAGCACACACACTTTGTCTGCGCGCCTTTTGGCAAAGGCAAACTTAGCCGGGTTGCTTGCTTGCGGTTGTTCCGTGCCCCGTGTCGGTGATTATCCCTTGATTGTCCCTGACGTGTTGGTATTGCGTCCCCAAAACTGAAAGCTAACAAATACCCAAAACAACATGCCAAAAACAAACACAACAATGCATAATTATTGTAGAGTATGAATAATTTTTTTGATCCTCCAGAGGATTGCCAAAAAATGAAATGCCCATGTGTCATCATTCTTGTGTTTCTCCAGTTACTTCAACCTTGCCTGGTGCAGCTGCTCGATTGAGCCTCTGCTCATGAGGATGGCCTTGATGCCCTCGGTCGTTTCAGAATCGACAGACTGCCCGATGAGGAATCGCCGGTTCACCTGTACGAGCCAGCGAGGAGCAAGACCAGCAAGAAAATCGACAAGATGATGGCCCTGTCCCTTTAGCAGCAACAAGCACGATACTCGATGCTGATTACTGCTGTTGTAGCCCGACTCCGCCGAAATTGCCTTCGGCATTAGGTCGAGTCTTGCTTAAGGTACAAGCTGGACAAATCTCTACACGACTGGGGGAAAGTAAGATAGCCTGGGTACACGCCATCATGACAAAACATCGCGCCAAACCTCAACAAAGAGTCTTCAGGGAAAACAAACCTACGGGGCACGTTTCGTACAAGCATGCGGTCTTCGAGAGGAGAGGAGATATATCCCTCCTCTTGACCTGATTGCCCGTTCCCGCCCCACCCAGCCCCGCCCCAGTCACTTCGTTATGTCGGAGTAATTTTCGTACCCCCTTACATACACACACGGTGGAATGTTCATCGCGCCGTACCTCAGTCAGCACCAACCCCATCACTCCCAGCAGCCCCGCAATGCTAACGCCGGCCAAGCTGTCGAAAACCGGGGCTTGGTAGTACTGGCTCAATCTGCTTGGGGAGCGAGTGACAGGTACATCAGCCAATTAAACGCGGATCAGGATGAGCAGGACGCAGAGGACTGGAAGCACAAATGTCTTGCTACCTCTCTGTGGGGATAATACCGGAATAGCCGCGGAGCGTGTGTCATTGCAACAACAAGATCATCTCCTCCCACGTCCTCAGCAAGCCGTCTTGACCCCCTCGCAGAGCCACGAAAAAGGCACGACAACTCTCCACGCGGAGCATGTTCTGTAGGGTGACAGGCGCGAGTAACTCGAAAACACTTTTCATATCTCGGGTGTTGATGGGCACGGACGCTGAAGCCCACTGTGTGCTTATTGTACGCGCACCGCTGGCGCTTGAGCCATTCCGAGCGACACAACCGTACACATTATTCGTTGTTTGTACACCTTGGGCGGACTACAGCAAACAGAGCAAGACGCTTCGACGCACGTGAAACGACTCGAACGACAAGTTCCCGTCTGAATTGACGAGGCCATCAAACTTTGGACAAGAGAGGCCTCGCAGATTGGAACAAGCTTGGGACCGGTGCAAACGAGTAAGAAAACCACGGGATGATGTCCTCACCCGATGCCACTCATGGCCATGAGGACGCCAACGCACGCCGCACCGTCTTCCAGCAGGACTGCCAACGTCGTAGGGTCTCGGAGCTGGCGCAAGCAACACAAGCGTCAAGAGCCCGTGCAACAAAACACGGCAAGCGGGAAGCGAAACAGCAGATTGATTGTGCGATCAAGGCCCCGTGTATCAGTGAGAGAGAAACACACGGGGGAACGCACAGCCAACTCTCATGGAATTTCAAAGTCACCCAATACATTGCTAGCACCCGAAATCTGCGGAAGCCTTGAGAATCGAGAGGTTGGCTGCGCCCCCCTCCAAGGACACATACTTATATGGGCAAACATCGACCGATCTAGAAAGATGGAGAGTAAGAAACAGAGGAAAGTGTTCCGGTGGAAAGTAGGGCGTCTGGGAGACGAGGGGACACGGGATGAATTCCAGAAGGGACTGGCTGGTAGTGTAGAACCCTTCAGGAAACTGCTGAGAAGCGTCCAAGACGGACAGGTAGACGTACAAGCAGCAGGGGACAGGGTGATTTGAAGGGTGGGAGTGCATAGTGAAGGCAACGGGAAAGAGAGTAAGGTGGTACGATGTGGGGTATCGGTTAAGTGGTGGGATGACGAGCTGAAAGAAGAAATAGGGGAACGTAGAGAAGTCTCCAAGCAGTACCTGAGTGAGGCGTCTGAGGAGAGTTAGGAAAAGTACAGGGCCAAGAGAAAACAGGTGAAGGGACTAGTGAAAAACAAGAAAAAGTGTATTTGGGACGAAGTAGTGCAGAAGGCCAACGGAGGCCTGGAGGGGAACGTCAAGCAGATGTGGGAAGGGATAAGTAGAATGGTAAAAAAGACCGCCCAAGGGGGGGATACAGGGGTAGCAACTTTGCGAGGTGTGAACGGTGGATTAGTCAGCAGTGGGAAGGGAAAAAGGGAAGTTCTAGCAGGACACTACAAGAGACTTGGAGTGCCCTCGGAGAATGAAG